AAAAACTAACATGTAATGTTGATCAGCTTATGATTTAAAACCAATTAAAATGTTTAATTAACTTAATTAAAATATCTTTTAAAATAGCTTTTAGTATACAGACCATTGGTTTAGTGAGTCCAGTTTGCTACTTACTAATGACATGATCAAAAGTATGTCAAGTTATCTGTTTTAATATCTTTTTCTTTTGACACAGGGTCGTGTGTATCCCAGGCTGTCCTTGAACTCACCAGGTAGCCTAGGATAGCCTTGAAAACTTAATCCTCTTACTTCCACCTCCTGAGTGCTGAGATTGCAAGGGTGTGCCATCATGCCCTACTTGTGCTGTGCTGAGAATTGAACCCACAGTTTTCTGCATGCTAGACAAGCACCCTACCAACTGAGCTATGTGCCCAGCTTCCTGTGCTATTTTGTCAAATGTCTAATTTGACATATATCTCAAGCCAAGCAAAGTATAAATGCTACAGTGCAGAAATGGAACACTTCAGCAGATACACAGACCCAGCTCTTAACCAAGAACCAGGGAGCTTCAAAGACGCCACTAAGGTGCCCCATGAATTCTTTCCTAAGGCAAGTCTAGGCATACAGTGCTTATAGCACTTTCTAATAATCACATGCTAAGTAGCACTTAAAATGGTCAAACTCTGCAAGCGTGTACTCATTCATAGCCCTGGAAAATGTCATGCTGGCTGAGTTGATGTGAAACTTAATGGAATAGAACTCCTGACCTCAAAGGCAGTCTACAGCATTCTGCTAAAACAAACAGGAATCTTGCTGGGCACGGGGCAGCTACCTGTAATCTAATCATTTAGGAGGTAGCATCAGGAAGATTATGAGTTCACATCAAGTTCACACTGAGTTCTAGGCCATCCTGGGTTGCACAAGAACCTGTCAAAAAGTGGGGAAGGAATCTTGCGATATGGCACCAGAAGGAGGGACTGAATGGTCTCCCAATGTGACTGTCAGGGTTGGTGTTCAAAGACACAGCAAAGGTTGTCATTTGTGACTAGGAGAGGACCTTCCAGGTGGAGGGAACATGGTTTCAGACCCTGTGCGTAAGTCTAATCCATTTTGAATTATTATTGTAACTGATGGGAGGGATATACTTTTATTCTTCTGCACATGGACTCTGTTTATTTATAGAAGGGAAGGCTCCCCCAACACCTTTCCCCACCATTGTTGAAGATCCTTTGGCTGTGGACACATGGGTCTCCATCTGAGCTCAGTTTTGTCCTGTGAATGTTCTGCATTATGGCAATGCCAAGCTGGCTGGGGCTACTATAGGCTTGCAGCACATTTCAAACCAGACAGTGCAATGCCTCCTACTTCATTCCTTATACTCAAGATTGCTTTGTTTGTCTCCATGGGTTTTTTAAAATTATCTTTGATATAAAAGCCACCCATAACCTTAAACAGTCTTTATGATGGTTGGTCAGCAAGAAAATTTTTGGTTGACAAATCATTGTTGTATCTCGTCCCCAACCCTAACACCAGTGCAGAGAACTGGTTCAGGACTTCATTTGGATCCCTTATATAAAAATGGCATGGCATTTATCTAGAACTTATGTCCATCTGCACAAAATCTTGCTACCATTTACATACTCATTTTTAAAATTATTTGTATGTGTATGGATGTTTTGTTTGCATGTATGTCTGTGCACTAGGTGCATGCCTGGGTCCACCGAGGCCAGCAGAAGGCATCAGATGCTCTGGAATTGGAGTTACAGATGGTTGTGAACTACCATGTTGGTGCTGTGATTAGAACCAGGTCCTCTGGAAGAGCAGACAGTGCTCTTAACCACTGAGCCACCTCACCAGGCTCCAAAAATAGATCTTTTTAATACTCAGATAGGAAAAAGCTAAGTAAGCAGTTGTTATCCTATATTGTTTGGGGAGCGACATGGGAAAAGCCTTTCCTGTGCGTTTCCTGTGAGCAGTTACTTGGTGACAATACTCCCACCCCTAGAGAACCCGCCCAAGCCAGCCACCTTATAGCCACCCATGTCAACCCAAATTCAGAACTTGGTATGTATGTTCCGCACACCCAATTAACAATTCTTATATTCATTAAAATGCCATTTTCACAACGTTAAGTGTCAAATTATAAATTATGCATATGATGAAAAGGTCAACCTGACCTGCTTTCTTTCCATAGGATTTCACAAAAGAGGAGTTATGGAAAGACTTTCCGTTGCTGAAAAGGTTTAGATAGCAACAAAGCTGAAGCCTCCCAGCTTTGGAAATGTGCTTGAGGCTAGGCACACACATGTAGAGCTTTTGGAATATAAATCAGTTGACTGCTGGCCTGCTTCAGTCGGCTGCTGCAAATCATATACCTTCCCATTCACTGCATTTTGCTTGTTTTTTAATTTTTTTATTTTTTAAATAACCTTCAGAATGGAGGCAGCTGTCTCAAATATTCTTTGAAAGCAATTAAATAAGGCAATAAGTGAAACAGGCAATCTCTTTATATATGCAATAATTGACAAGATTCTGTCAAAATGCTTCCAATTTCAAGCTTCCACTGGAGGATGAAGATGGCTCTGTGCCCACAAATTAATGTCTACTAGTCACCCAGACCTCTAAACAGAGGGGCATCTCATTTACTTACAAACTGAAATGAAAACTTTTCGGTAGTCTTTTCCATTCCTGTTACTATAACTTCTTTGTTGTTGTTGTTTTTCAGAGTCTCACGTAGCCCAGAGTCATCTTGAACTCATTATGTAGCCAAGAATAAGCTTGGACTTCTGATCCTCCTGCCTCTACTTCTCAAGTTCTAGGACTGGAGGTGTGTACTGCCATGCCTACTTTTATGCAGTGCTGGGGATGGAACCCAGGGCTTCCTGCATGCTAGGCAAGCACTGTGCCAACTGAGCCCTAACCAGATTCTCTCAAAGTAACAAACATGATCCAGCACTGCTTTCAAATCCCCACGTATTGTGCTCAATATGGAAGTCAGTACATTCAAAAGCAGCATCAGAAAAACAGCAAACATGATGCTGTTGCCTATGATAAATTTGTTACTTCCTAAGTCTTCTCTGCACTTCACGTATAACTGAGACCATCTTGACTCAGGTTACACTGCCTTATTTCCATATCACACTCATCTATTTCCACATCACACACATTACACTCATTTCCCGTACACCATCACATACTTTAACTAATCCACTCATATACTGGCATTGAAGGCAGTGACAGGTGAGTTAATATTCTCTAACAGAAATTTCACAGCCAGTAACAAAAAGTGCACAAGAGGTAGGAAGTTTCTACAACTCATAAAAAGATGCTCCAACTCAGAGTAACCAAAGAAATCTAAAACAAAAGAAGTTATCATTTTTGTCCCAAGACTGGTTGAGCCTTAAAAGAACCAAATAAAGACGTCTCCCTGCGCTCAGGAGCTTATTTGACCAATACAGTGTTCTCAGAAGACTTGATGTTAAAACAGGAATTGCAGTCTCATTTGAGATCATGTACAGTTTATAGTACTGAAATGAATGGAAATCTTCAATAAAACCAGCAAGCTCCACTAGAAAGTCAAAGGGCCGATCAGGACTGACAGCTGCAAGCCACGTGGGCAGCCGGAGGCTCAGGACTTGGTCGCTGTGTTAGAAGACAAAAGGCACTGGGCTTTATTCACCTCAAACATTAGAGGGTCAGTCTACATTTTTTTTTTTTTTTTTTTTTTTTGTTTCTTCAGCCCTCTCAAAGTTAAGTGAAGGTACAGGGCCGGTTTGATACATTGTGAATGAATTAAGAAATAAGCTTTGGCTGGAGGTGTAGCGTGATGGTAGAAGACTTCCCTATGAGGCTCTAGGTTCAATTCTGGAAGTACAAAAACACCGAGAGCCAAAAGGCTGCAGATCCAAAAGGCTGCAGATCCCGACATGCCAGTTGGTCTCGTGGGGAGGAGCTCTGTGTTGTCTGTCATTCTGTTGGTGGATATCCAGTCTTCCTAGCATCGTTCATTGAAGCGGCTGTCTTTATCCAGTGTGTTTTGCATCTCTTCTGAACATTAGATTATTGTAGATGTTTGGTGTTTTTCGGGCCTGCTATACAATTCCTGGATAGAGAGGGTCTATTCAGCAGGGAAAAAAGTTTCAGAAAGCAGATTTTCAGTCACCATTGATTGATTCTTAAGAGTAAGCGTTTATCTCAGAGTAGGAGATGGAAGCAAAATAGGGAAAATTCAGGGACACAGGAAGGGGAAAGGAGCCTCCTCACCATGGAGTTGGGCTGGACTGTAAAGACTACACACACTGAAACAATACTCCTTTTCAGGTAAGAAGAGTGAAATGGCAAGGAACCATGCGTGAGGCCTAAGAAAATATGATCTATGTGAGTTCCCCTTTACTGCTTTGCCAGCTCTGAAGTGTAACTTCTGAGACTTTAACAAGGTTACAAACGTGCTTTCCTGTACCCTAGCACAGCAGGGAAGCCTGTGACTGCTGTCTCTCAGGCTCAAATCCTAGCCCTGCTCCTTCTATCATGCCATGACCCCACTTCCTAAACCAAGAATGCTTTGAACACTTAACTTCAGAAGCCACCACACTTCATGTAGCTTTGTTAAAACACTCCACGTACCTGCCACCCTATCTTTTGATAAGCAAACAGCCACACTTGGGAGTTTAGTGCCCTTTCCCCCAAAACCATTCTCTCTTACCCAATGCATAAAACTGTTACAACTTCTTTGGGGTGGGGGCAAACTAGTTTTATTCATGTTTCCTTACACATGGTTTGGTATTTTCAACTTTGTGTTTTCATTTAAATCAAATGTAAATTGTAACTTAGGACCCCTGTGGCTTGTATCATCAATAAGACAAGAATATATATTAGCCAGGAGTAGGGGCACCTGCCTGTAGTCCCAGCACTCAGGAGGCAGAGGTAAGCAGATCCCATGTGAGCTGGAGATCAACCTGGTCTATACAGTGAGTTTCAGAACAGCCATAGCTACATAGTGAAACCCTGTCTCGAAAACAAAACCAAACAGAACAAGAACATATGATACCATAGAAAACACGTATCATTTATTACATGGACTTAGAAATCAACACAAATCAATGTCAGGCACTTCTTAAGTACACACTATGAGAAATGTCTACCAAAGATCCGTACATTGAGCAGGCAACACCAAAGAGACTCACTCTTCCGTTTTAGGAACAGTACAGAGTTAGAGAATTGAAAAGATGAAATATTGCATAATTAGCCCAATTGTATCCTGTTACATTTCTTCCCAATTTCAAACAATTTTAGGGTTAAATACACTCACTTCTTAAGCATCCAGAGTGCTTAATTCTGCTCTTTCCTTTACTCCACTATCATGGTCTTAAACGATTGCACCTGCTGAGGAACGTGGCACAGAAGTTGTATTTTAAGTAGCATCCTGAGTCTTTATTTTCTATAACATCTGATTCCACAGAAACACATGATAGTTGATTGCTGGCTGTTTTTCTTCCTTCCTTCCTTCCTTCCTTCTTTCCTTCCTTCCTTCCTTTTTGTGATAGTCTTTTGCTATGTAGTCTTGGTGGCTGATCCTATTCAGCCCAGGTTGACCTTGTACTCCCAGCAATTCTCCTGTCTCACATTTTGAATGCTGGAATTACAGAGTCACACCACCACATACTGCATATTTTGCTGTCTTTTAAAGCTTGTTTCAGCAAGTTTATTTTGTAATACCAGGTCTCAAGTTACAAATTCCTTTAGACATTTAATGCTGATCTTTGCTATTTAAGCAAACATGAAGAAAAATGGAATGTGGGAAATCAACTTAGGCTGTCTTCAGGTTCAACCCTATATACAGTCTTGTTTTGTCAACCTTCCCCATCTTAAGCCAGCTGAACTGGTATTCTCCAAAACATCACCAATCTTGTTTCTATGAGGATAATGTGAATGTAGCAATGGCCTTTGGTCCTAAATCATAGCTCAAGGACCTGAAATAGTCTATGTATTTTTCTTGTCTTTCTGAATCTAGCTGTCAGCTTAAGAAGTTAATATTAAGTAGAATTAGGGGGCTAAATATAGTATAACATGAGTCTTCTACTGGTATCTCTATACCACAACCTGAATCTAGTCTCCTGATAGACTCAGAATCTCTGGTGATGCAAAGGTCCCCAGCAGTGGGTCAAGTCACGGTAGGTGGACAAACAGAATTAAAGTCGTTACTGAAAACCCAGTGGTCTGGGAACAATGGATCCCCTTAGATGAAAACGAGCAACCTTCATTGGTGGTCAGCAAACATCTAGGACAGTAAGGGCTAGCTGAGCTCTGAAAGTTGCTCCTGAACAAGAAACTCCACGTTGCATTTGGAGAATGAAGTGGTCAAATCTGCTGTATAAAGAAACCTTCTCTACCTTGCCTTGAAAATGAGAATGATACCAGGATACCAAGGGCAATTAGAAGATCCCAAAGTTCACATAAGATCTAGGATGTGCTGTTATCCCCTATTAACAAAGTAGAACAGACTATAGATGCATTCCCAAAAATGCCTGCAGAGAAAACTAGACAGCTGGCTATGATTTTTTTATTTACACTAATATAAACAGATTTGAGGTTGTCTGTACTGTATGTGATTGCTGTAGTTACAGCAAGAAATATAAAGTGCCTGGAAGAGAGGACCAATAGCATCCCTCTTCTCGGCTTCTTAATACTATACACTCAGACAAAAGGAAAAGACACCTTAGGGACCTCTTGCCTGTCCTCACACTCGCCACACTTACCTGCGACTTCCCGTGACTACCTATGAGGCACTTCTTCAAGGCCAGGAAACCAACTCTTATTCCTCTATCTCATGCTATGCTTATGTAAGACTAGGTTTACCACCTGCATTCAAAATGCCAACCAGCAGTGCTAATGCACCTTTTTATTCTTAAGGCAAAACGTCACAAGAAAATGAAGACCCATTCCCCACTGCCCAGCCCACTTGCCTTCTCTGTGTTCTTTGTCTACTATGACGGCCAAGGTGTGCTAGAAATATAAGGGGAACTGAATTTTTAAAATAAAACTCTCAATATGATGGGAAACATACACTTTATAAATGTTATGACAAAATCAAATATATTCAAATGATTTATCTTATGGCCACTTTTACCAAGGTATCAAGAGAAGTTAAACAACTTTCAAAATCAGTATCAAAACGGGACACTTAAATCTATTCACATGTACAGAGGTATAAATCTTTGTTCTTTTCAGAGCTGAGCACAGTGAGGTTAAATGAGATGTTTGTTTACACCCAGAAGTCGCATATGAACATCTGAAACCACAGGGCTTGCTGAGTTCTGCCCCATGACATGTAAACTGCCAGCACGACGTCAAGGGGTACTCCGCCATATTTAGGCCTAATACTGTTTGATGTTTTGATATTTTCATATATTAAAACTCTTTTTACTCAGTTATAGTTTTGTTTTTATGTACAAGTACACAGGCATCATACTTTTTGATGCTTCGCTTAAAAGGGTTAAAAAGCCAAAAACCTCGTATTTTGTGAAAGGGGTGAAGTTTCAGGCTTTCTTATGACATGTCAGTAACTGACTGCACTACGCCAACCTTACCAACGGAGCAAACGCTTTAAACATCCAACTAAGAACAAAGTTTAGCCAATACCCTGGCAACATCAGAATGTGCTGGTATGTGTTGAACTGATGTAACAGTGATCCAAGCAACTATGCACATGATTACTCAAATTAAAAAATAAAAATTTAGCTTTTTAGCAAGCTGTAGGTCTGGGCTCTGGAGGGGTGGGAAGGGCTCCATTAGAGGCTGTTTGCCTTTAACAAAACTACGGAGTAGATGTGAGTCTTTAAGGGGATTTTCTAATACACCAGAGGAAACCTCTCATCGTGATCTGAAGTATGAGAACGTATGACCAGAACTTAGCACTACAAAGCCCAGTGATGGAGGGCTGATTTTCTCAGAGCAGGTGGGCAAACATTAAATGCTGAGAGTGTACTGGGAGGCTTACAGCAGATCTCAAACACAAAGCATCCCTGTTAACACTCATCTGCACCCGATGGGTTTAGACAGTTAAGTGTCTCACATTTAACGAAAGATTTTTCCCTGTTAACACTCATCTGCACCCGATGGGTTTAGACAGTTAAGTGTCTCACATTTAACGAAAGATTTTTCAAAGTTCCATTAATGCTTGTAATGTGGACTTCTAGTTCTTATCAAAATCTTTAGGAAATTTTAAAGCTGATACTAAAACTAGTTAAATTTTTTTTTTTGAATATCCTAAATCTTGACAGTTTTGACTAACCTTCAAATTTCCAGGGCACAAAAGGCATATAGAGTCACCAAGAATATGTTAAAACACATGGTAATTTTGTTTATAGTTATGACAGAAATACCTTCAACTTTTAGATAAATTTAAAAAAAAAGCAAATATAAAAGGTGTTTTGGATCAAATGACTTCTAGTACAAATAATGTAACATGTCAAATTTTCAATCAAATTCTTGAAAGCATTCAGAGTATTTGGATTTCCTAACTATTAAACAAGCTATTTTATGCAGTAGAAGAACATGTTAAGAAAACCTACAGAAACAAATAAATCTGCAAATTGAGAAATTATCAATGTTCATTGAAAACTATGCCTTATGCTTACTCTCAAATTCATTTTTAGCTGTTTGTCATGTTACACCTAAAAAGCTGCAGCTAAATTAATTACTACTATTTATAGAATATTTCCTCTTTGGGCAGATCTATTTCACACCATGATTTTCAATTAAAAATGACCTGGTAGTTTTAATCACAACTTATGACTGATTAGTAGCTGAGTTGGCATAGGATCAACAGAAGGGAAAGTCTGGTAACTGCTCACTCTGTAATTCTGCCCAGTCACTCCTGGCCAGGAGTCTAGCAGACATTCTACTCACTTGTGTTACGTTTGTCCATCTCAATTACTGAGCAAGAGAAATTGGTATACAATGTCAAGCTTTTTCCTGTTTTGTTTCTAAGGAGCAGCTCAACAATTCTAGGTCAGGGCTGGCTTGTTAGGACAATACAGAGAACAGAGGGGAAACTACAAAAATGACCCTTAACACCAACGTTGGGACTGAATAACATTAGGGTAATAATAATAACTAAGGTTATTATTGTGTCATCTGCTTTTCGTTAGAACACAAATCAAAGCCATTAACCTGAACTTGAGGTATATACACAATACATATTCAACTTTAAGCAAAATACTTTCCATAATATTACATTTTTAAAAACTGGGAACGGTATCTGTGCTGATTTGTATTTTGATTCAATGTAATGAGAAGGGAACATTCAACTTGGGGTGGGGTGGGGAGGGCAAAGCACTCGGACAATAAAGCTCTACAGTTCAAATGTCTTCCTCTCCCTTCATACTCGCCACAGCTATACCATATCCTGAGAGGATTCATCGTGAGAAATGTCAGTCACAGCTTCGATGCACTTTGGAAGTAATGAGAGCAAACTGGGTGGTGACGTTTCATCTTTGTTTTCAAATAAGTGGTCTTCATTTTTCTTCTTATAGAAAAACTCTTAAGTCAGTTATTATAAATATATCTCAACCGTTTTCTTGCAGCTTTCAGGTAAAGTCCAGCACTTTGTTGATACAGAGTCTGTGAGAAGAGGTCAGTAGAGATCATCTGATCTTCAGCCGTGACATCATCCACTCGAGTCCTTGGCATAACCTGTGACGACATCAAAAATCATGTGATTAAATTATGAACTCAAAAGCTACAGGCTATACACTAGCAAACAGTAGTTTTTATTAATCTGAAGAATAAAAACTGTGAGAGCAGTAGCAATCAGTTCAGGTGCTGCTGAGTTAAAGACATACTACTCTAGGCCACACAAGCTTTCGGTTCATTCTTATCTTAATTCTTAGAACAGTGCCTAACACGCATAGGTGCTGCTGAGTTAAAGACATACTACTCTAGGCCACACAAGCTTTCGGTTCATTCTTATCTTAATTCTTAGAACAGTGCCTAACACGCATAGGGAACTCACATGACCAATGCCCATAGAACGAACAGGTTTTATATATATTATACACATACATATATAAATAATAAATATGTATAAGTAAATAATAAATATATATAAATATATACATACATATATAAATAATAAATATGTATAAGTAAATAATAAATATGTATAAGTAAATAATAAATAATAATATATATATATAAAACCTGTTCGTTCTATGGGCATTGGTCATGTGAGTTCCCTATACATATTAGGCACTGTCTAAATATATATGTATGTGTGTGTGTGTGTGTGTATGTGTGTATATATCTACATCTATCTATCTATCTATATATATGTATTTAGAAAAACAAGCACAGAGTGGCAATGTATTCTAAAAATAAAAATCAGGAGGTAGGCAGATTTTTGTGTCAGACTACTCAATGAAGCATTTTTTAATAGGAAAGAGTAAAATTTGAATGTCTAGAATCACAAAAACCACAATATTTTAGAACACTCATATAATGGTAAAACCTTCCCTTTAAAAAAATACTCTTGACATAAATGAAGTAAAAATAATGGGATTTTATACTAAACATAACAAAGTTCTTAACACAAAGTATACATATATAACTATGTAAAATATCTGAGGCAATAAAGCACATCATTATTACTTTTTATTGACCAACAAGTAACTGAACTAATTCAAAATACAGAAAGGGACTACCCTGTGACAAGAGAAACCAGATGCCGAGCAAGAAGGAAATAGTCATCAGTGATTCTACAGTAAGTTCCAAAACTGTTGATTATTTATGATAAGCTTTGTAGATATGAATGTAAAAGTATAAAAGAATACACAGAGAGCAACAAAGCAAACAGAAGATTTTGGGGAGTGGCTACTTTCCTCCATAATTAGACTCCTACTTTTAAACTAACTGAAAACGGTGTAAAACAACCAACGGCTTCAAACTGTTAAAGGAACAGCAGCTGAAACACTAGAAAGACACTGCAGACTGCTGCACTAAGTACCTAACAGCCATCTGAGTCTTCTCAACAATTAGTCTGCAATCCTTCCCATGGTAGACAAGCTAGCCTCGAAAGGTTAGCAAATGGCAGAACTGGGGCCAGGCAAGGCCATGCTCCATAGCTCATGATCTTCAACTGAGTCAAAATGGCACCCAAATGAAAACCAAGATTTGGTCTATTTCACAGTAATTTGATTTGAATAACTCATATTCATTCACCGTTCATCAAGATTTCAAAGGGAAAGAAATCCTGTCACTTTACCTAATTCATTTATTGGGTGTAGAGACCCACAGAGGTTTCCTAGTGAGAACTTACTCAGGGTCCAAGATCTGAGCTTGCTTTACCCAGCAGGGATGCATAAAGGGATGATCTGACCACAGGCATGGTTACCAGGTGTTTGGAAGAGTCTACACTTGGCTGTGCAGTGTGCTTTGATCTAGCAAGGGGGGAGGTCTTTTGCCCTGCCCCTTGGCATTGTTATAAAAAGCCCTTTTGAATAAATGGAAAAGGGCCATTGGGTATTGACCCAGGTCCTCTCAAAGCTATCCTGTGTTCCTGTCTTTCTTCTCTTTGCTATCTTTCTATCTAATTTTTTTTGTTTGTTTTGTTTTTTTCAAGGCAGGGTTTCTCTGTGTAGTTTTGGTGCCTGTCCTGGATCTCACTCTGTAGACCAGGCTGGCCTTGAACTCACAGAGATCTATCTGCCTGGCTCTGCCTCCCCAGTGCTGGGATTAAAGGTGCGCGCCACCACCGCCGGCTTCTAATATTTTCTTATTACACTCTCCTCCTCATAAGAACCCTTGAAAAGGTGGGAGCTGGCCTCCCACAGTGGGGACTCTAGGTTTCTGACCCTACTGAATACATCAAGAGCCTCAGCCCAACACTCAAGTCCTCTTTTATAATCTCAAGTTCCTTTCTACTGCTTTTGAATAGATACAGATCCCCAGACCTTTGAAAAGCAGCAAAACAGTTACTCTTCCTTTAGGCTTTCACCTGATACCCAACATCCTCTATTTCATCTTTCCTACCTTTCCTTGCCACACTCAAGAGTTTCTAGCTGGGCTGAAGAGGTGACTCAGCAGTTCAGAGCTTTTATTATGCTTGCAAGGACCCAGGTTTATTGTTGAAGGTTTTTACTCTTTTGGGGGGCCCGCCACCCAGCTACCAAATAATCACACATGGAGGCTTATTCTTACTTATGAATGCCCAGTCTTAGCTTGGCTTAGTTTTTAGCCAGTTTTCCTTAAAACTTATTCATCTATCTTTTGCCTCTGGGCTTTTCCCATTCTCTTACTTCTGTAATCTTACTCTTACTCCGTGGTTTGCTGTGTAGCTGGGTGGCTGGCCCCCGGAGTCCTCCTCTGGCTGCTAGCTCTTTGATCCCTCCTCCCAGTTTTCTCCTTCTCTATATATCCTCTCTGCCGGTCAGCCCCACCTATCCTTCCTCCTGCCTTGCTATTGGCCAGTTCTTTATTAGACCATCAGGTGTTTTACACAGGCACAATAACATAGCTTCACAGAGTTAAACAAATGCAACATAAACAAAAGTAACACACCTTAAAATATTCTACTATACAGATTTGGTTCCCAGCACCCACATGATGGCTTACAACTGCCTGTAACACCAGTTCCAGGGGATACAATTCCCTCTTCTGACCTTTAGGGGTTCCTGCATGGACATGGTGTGCATATATACACTCAGGCACATACACATAAAATAATTTTTTTAAAAAAAGGACTTTCAGCTGTTATTCCAAAATTTACTTTCTCTTTAAATTGCCACTGACTTCCTTCTGCCCAATTTCCCAATACACAGATTGAGTTCACTCATTCACTGCTATATTCAACAGTACTTTTTCCATCTTCCTGGTGCCTGACCACACATTTGACACAAACAACCACCACTTCCTTCTTAAATCATACTGTCTTCTAATACTCTTGATTCCAGAAGCAAGGACTCTCGTATCATACATGGGGGTTTGGGAGTAAAAATATGGAGTATGTTCAACCTATGGTCTGAAGCATATAGATAAGCACTCTACTAACAAGCTACACCCTCAGTCTCCAGCAGTTTTTGACAGCACAATTTCCTTTTGACAACACTGCTGGTCATGGTGGCTATCTGCTAGCTTTACATATAAATCCTTGTTTATTCCTTCTTTGTTATGCATAAAATGTGGACTAGTCTAGAGCTGCCATGAGGACTAAGACACTGCATGGAAAACATTCCCGAGAGGACATGCTCTCAAGCTTTAGTACCTAAGTCCCAGGTTCATTATCAAAAGTCTTTTCTAGGGGCTGGAGAGATGGCTCACCAGCTAAGAGTACTGTCTGCTGTTGCAGAGGACCCAGGTTCAATTTCCAGCACCCGAATGGTGGCTCACAATTGTCTGTAACTCCAATCCTAAGAGGTCTAACATTGTCTTCTGACCTCCATGGGCACAGTATGCAAGTGGTGTAGACACAGGCAACACACCTATACACATAAAAAGGTAAAAAAAAAAAAAAAAAAAAAGTATTTTCTGGCTTTTCCAGCTCTCAGCGACACTCTCATTTCTCTATGCTGCTATAGCAACTATAGAATCTACATGCCTACATGTTAGTTCATATATGTACATCTGTGTTGCATATCTTATTACACAATCATCCAAAGTCTCTGGCTACAGACATTGACTTCCTTACATACTTATTGATTTGATGAAGACATACATATTTCTAAGCTAAATGTATGGCACTTAGAAGACATCTTACCCCTCGCCAGTAAGAGCGCAGCATGCTTGGATATGCCACTGGTGGTCTTTTATAGACGTTAGCTTCAAAAACTGGGAGATCTCTGCTACTGTCATGCATTCTTTAACATCTTGTTTATTAGCAAAAATCAGCAATCCAGCTTTTCTTAGGTCCTGTAAACGCAAATAAGATTTAAAGGCTAGTACATTTCCCCATATATTTTCAACTTAGCTGGTTATTTTTCATAATTTTAGTAATCTGGACTATCATTTTTTTCTTGATTAAATTTTTTTTATTTTCATAGGCATCCCTACCAGTCTAGAATTTAAACATTTTATACAATACTATCTCACATCTCCTAGTCCGACAGAAATAAACAAATCCTTGTATGGATTTCATACTTCTCAGTTGTGTATGGTTTTGTGTATGGTTGTGTGTGTGTGTGTGTGTGTGTGTGTGTGTGTGTGTGTGTGTGTGCACTGTATGTGCAGATATATGTGGAGGCAAGAGGTAAGTGTTGAATGCCTCAATTTTGGAAACAGGACCTCTCACTGGTTTGCTTGGCCTGGCTGGCCACTGAGCTCAGCACTGGAGCTGCAGGTGTGTACTGCTGTGCCTGCTTTTTTACACTGTGGGTGCTGGCGATCAAACTCAGATTCACACCCTTGAGCAGCAAACATTTTACCAACTGAGCTATCTGGAAGATCCTCAGCACCAACTGTTTAGTCTTAATTGATAAGCTTTATGGCCCTAAGTGCTTACACTTAACATCATCTTTTCAAGCACAAGAAATGTCTACTATATCAATTAAAAAACAACAGCAGAAACAACAACAAAAACCAAATTAAAAAAATCCAAAACTTTAATGGCTATTAATAGTCATCCTTTACTACTGTATCAAAACTTTGCCCCCTTTCTTTTCCACATTACATTTTATGCTTTATTAATATTACTTACTATATACTCTAAAACGTGTAAGTTGTTTATGTTTTTGAGGTCTTGCTATGCATCCCAGGCGGATTTTTAACTCATTATCTTCCTTCCTTGCACTCTGGAGTGCTAGAATTTCAAGTGTGTCCCATCGCTTACATCTTAAAAACTCCAATTAGCAAGCTATCAACTTACTCTCTGGACAGTTTGGGACAGTCTTATCTCAACACTGTTCCAACTGTTTTTCTGTATGTATCATGCCTTTTCTTCCAATCCCCTAAACAAACCTTCTCCAATCAGGATTTCAGAAGAGAATTAAACTCCTCAGAAAATGACCACACTGCAAGTTACCAACAATGTATGCAGCTGGCATCATCTCAACACACAATAAACAAACAAACAAACAAATAAATCTACTACGTATCATGTAGGGATAAATTATCAGTTTGGAAACACTGTGTGTGTGTGTGTGTGTGTGTGTGTGTAGTTAAAAGTTTTGCAGAGTGTTTTATGCACAATCAAGAATGACTTAGTTACAGTGCCCTCTGCAGGCTGGAGTTGCCTGATTAAGTTAGAATAGACAAAAACACAGGTGGCTGGTTAACAGTTTTAAGACTGCATATTTAATTAGTTACTAGACATAGTTTGGTCCAAAGATCTAAAAATAAAATGAAAACTGAAGAGCTAGATCATGAATTGAACATATATAGTAATTATTCAAGATATAAATTTTTAAAATCTTACCCTAAATGAAAATGGACTATTATTGATAGGTGGTATGTGGCTGAGTTAATAAGGAGACAGACTTTCTGTGGGATTTAATTTAACTTCTATCTTATCATCTAGAGGTTTTGATATCAGTGTATGTGGAACTCGTTATATATAAGCCAGGTTTGCTAATGATAGAATGCTCAAAACACAAAATTCTGATACAAGTATTTGGGTCAAGTTAGGAAGCATATTCTGTAGTAATTTAGTAATACAGTAATTTAAACCCATCATTCTTACTAATAAAATTTAGAGAGGCCCCTAAACTAGAACTATAAAAATTAAGTCACTAAAGGTCTCGTACTAGAGAGACGGCTCTGCAGGTAAACTGTCTGCTGTGTTAGTAAGCATGAGCACCAGAGTTCAGGACTCCAGAACTCAGGAAAAGCCATGGACGTGGTAGCCGGCCTATACTCCCAGTGTGTGCGGGAGGTGGAGCTGAGGACTCCCCAGAGAAAGTTGCATAGCCAGGCATGCCCAAACACAGAGCTCCAAGTTCAGCTAGTGACTGCCTCTCTAAAGATGGAGCTGAATCTAAGAAGACACTCAATATCAACATCAGGCCTCCACAGCATGTGACACACACACACACACACACACACACACACACACACACAGGCATGCACTCCATATAAATACAACAGTAAAAATAAATAAATAGAAAGGGTCTCTAAACTAAAACTGTAATTTCTTGTTTAGATCTCAAAACCCACACTTTAGGAGAATCTCATGTATCTCAGACTGGCATCAATGGAGTTCATGATTATTTAAAATGATCACAACAACAACAACAGCCATAAAACAGGTATTTTACCTTTTTAAATATTTAGAAGGATGGAGAGATAGAGAGAGAATCTTTGCTTTTTATTATAGAACCTCAAGACCAAAGGTAATATTATGACAATAACAAAAAGCATATTGGGTTAAAGGCTATTTATTAAATTGTATTTGTAAGCTATCAAAATTTAGGGTAAACAATGGTAATCTTTCATTCACAAGCTAATTTAAATGTTCTCTACTATACAAACTCCACATCTGATCTTAAGAATATGAGCTATCCAGGCCTGAAGGCTCAGGCCCATAATCTCACAACTATCTGAGAGGCTGAGGCATGCTGACTGCATGTTCAAGGCCAGCCTGAGTAGCTTAATGAGACTCTGGCAAAAACAAACACGATTTTTAAAGACTGAGGACATAGCTCAGGGGCAGAGCACTTGCCAGGCACATGTAAGGCCCTAGGTCCAAGGGCCTGGCCCGTACAGAAAAAGAAAAGTATCTAATACATCTATTAGTTTAGTCAAGCAAACAGCAACAAATGTAAACATCTACTTCTCTATCATATTCCAATACTGTCACTTTGTTTCACGAAGCTTCATTTGTGAAGACTACTTCTAGAATTTGAGTCATTCTAAAGAAAATTTTAGATTTTGGTGTCTGAAACTATTTTAAAATTAATTATACTCAAAGTTTAATATTTCTTAAAAGATGAAGCCTTGAAATGCTTTTAAAACCTTTTTATAGTTTTATGTTTTGGAATACACAGAAGAGTTATTTTCACATGCCTTTAATCCCAGAACTTGGGAGGTTGATCTCTGAGTTCAAGGCCAGTCTAGTTTACAGAACAAGTCCCAGGACAGCCAGGGCTACTGAGAGAAACCCTGTTATGAAAACCACAACAAAGATTGTTTTATAGTAACTATGAAACATCCAACTAACTCCATCCATGTGCTTTCAATCTGTCACCGTTTGTCACTTGTCAGAGCTCTACCTGATGACTTGGTTCCAGTCCACCAAAGAGTCTCTTGTGGCCCCCACACCATTTTAATGCCTCTCCGATCTCCCTTCTCAGCCTCCTTTCACTTTCTAGCCAGTTTTGTACTTTGTTTTTCTCCTTTTTATTGTCTCCTAGCTATGAGTCTAAATAAGAGTATTTGTACCGATAATATAAGTCATTCAAGAACACAACATAGCTGTTATGTTCAGATCCTGGCCCTTTAAAAAACTGGTCAGCCACATAAACTTCCTGGGCCTCAGTATAACAGACAAGGGAGAGGGAAGGGGCCCAAGTTCGTGTCCCTGGGCAGAAAGGTTCAAACACCATGCTTGCTATATATATATATCAGCCAATGAGTGAGCAATCACACAGAGGTTTCCTGCTAAAGGTACACACACACACACACACACACACACACACACACACACACACACACACACACATATTCAAGAGACATCATATATATGTGTGTTTTCACCTTCTAAAGTCTCCATAAAACACCACTCTGAAATAAATTGAATAATGTTTTGTCTCTTTTTATAAAATTCAGTTGGAAAGAAAAAAAATCTTTTTTTATTTTATTTTCTTGCCTGCATGTATGTCTGTGTGAGGGTGTCAGATCTTGGAATTACAGACAGCTGTGAGCTTCCATTTGGGTGCTGAGAATTGAACCTAGATCCTCTAGAAGAGCAGTCAGTGCTCTTAACTACTGAGCCATCTCTCCAGCCCCCTAAGATGTATTTTCTAAACCCCAAAAGGTTTGACACGAATTCCAGAATTTGAGCCCCCAATAGGCAAGAGCACACAATGGAAGCCATGACGACTGTCTTGGTTAGGTTATCTATTGCTGTGAAGAGACCATGACCACAGCAACTCTTACAAAGAAAACCTTTAACTGGGGCTGGCTTACAGTTCAGAGGTTTAATCCATGGTCATCATGGGTGGGAAGCCTGGCGGCATGCAGGCAGACATGGTGCTGGAGAGGTAGCTCAGAGTTCTACATATGGATCCTCAGGCAACAGGAAGAGAGAGTGACGCTGGGCCTGGTTTGAGCATTTGAAACCTCAAAGCCTACCCTTGGTGACACACCTCCTCCAACAAGGTCACACCTACTCCAAAAGGCCACTCCTAATAGTGCCACTCCCTATGAGCCTATGGGGGCCATTTTCATTCAAACCACCACAATCACTAAAAGCAAACATGTATTCTTAATTTACAAAAACCACTTTTTATCAGGTTTCCTAAACTCTTGAAAATTTACCTGAAACAAAATAAAGTCTGTAAAGCAAAACTCAAAAGAAATCATTGAATCAATAGTAACATATAACTTCACTGTGAGTATCCCAATTTTCTTAGGCTTTACCAAGTTCCACTGAAATAAAAAATTTTATTCTATACATCTGTTGTGTAACAATTTCCTCCCAACTGGAACATTGTATCCTGGAAGGAGACACCTTAAGAACCAGGAAGTACACAACTCACAAGTCTCAGAAAGCTCCTGAAACTTCTAAGATATACCAAAAAAGGGCTTCTTCCCCAAGGTTATATGTCAGTAATGACCACTGGGGAAAAGAAACTCTCTGGATCATCAGCGCTGTTTGCAAGTTGCAAGGAACTCCAAGACTGCTGCTTTCATGAGGAAGTCAACCAGCACAGTGTGGGCTTTTGGGAAACACTACCTTTGTGTCAGCCATGTTACTTTAAGTAACCCCTTACCACCCATGCTCCTGTACGCAAGTCAATAAATGCATCATGTGAACTTTGGTACAATAGTTGGTACCCTACCATTGCTAAGCCCTACGGTGGGACATGATCTTTATAAGGTTAGTCTCCCTTCAGGAATCTAAATGAAGGAGACTGGCATGTGGACCAGGTTTGTAAAATGGTAAAGCAATCAAGAGGGAATGAGGGAAGGTCAAAGGTGGTCTGTCCATGCTACTCCAAGACAAATGTGATAAAACTTCTGTTAAACTGGAATTCCCGGAAAAACAACAGAAAGCCAATTGTTGGGCTATTACATTTCTAAAAGGCTTAAAAAGCTGGAGCAGCAGTTTACAGAAGATTTAAGTGATAAAACAGCCAAGTGATAAGCTTGCCTTGGGGTGGGCAATTATAGCCCTAGTGTATACATGTAAAAGCACACCAGGAGTGGAGACTGCCCAGTACAGTCTTTTCAGCAGCCAGGTTTGTCTGATACAAAAGCAATGGCACAATGATGGCCTGGAGCATGTCAGAACCGAGGAGCTGACTCGAGTGCCAGACATAGCAGGCAAGGGTAACAAAAACACTCTGATAAAAGCACTCTGCTCCCCACTTGGTCCTGAACCAAGCTGAGCAGTGCAAGGCAGTCCTGTTAAGATTGCTGGTGTTAAAGAAACATGGAACAGCCTTGAAGTGGCAGCAATAACACAGACAAGGAAGTAGGACGGCTCATGGCAACTGTTTTCAGATTACAGAGGACTAAAGGGCAATGTCTCCCATCTATGCTGTTCTCAACACTGCTCTTTTAACAACAAAACTGAAATGATGAGATCTTTTTATGCTGTACTGCATTCTGCTAATGTTTTCTTTTTAGTACCCCTTCAGCCATCCAAGATCAACTGGCCCTTACTATGGTGTTTTTCCAGAGATCCTGCCTATGCTTCGTAAAAAGATTTCATTACATGATGCTAACACTTGCTCTACAGATTTGTAGAAACACTCAAAACAGTGAAGACTGCAGTTTTGAATAAATAAGGTACTCTGTGTGTTGTAGTTTGAATGTGAAATGCTCCCCACAACTCATATGTGTGAACACTTGCTTCCCAGTAGTGATGCTGTTTGGGAAGCTGACAGGACTTTCAGGAATAGAGCCTTGCTGGAGGAATGAAGTTCCCAGGGGTAACTTGAAGCTGTATAGCACAGTCCACTTCCCACTGGTCTTCTCTGCTCCTTGACTGTAGGTGCATGTGACCAGCCAGCCTCCTGCTCCTGCCATGGCTTCCCCACCATGACTGACTACATCATTCTGGAACTGTTAAGCTAAAACAAACCTATTCTCCCGTAAGCTGCTTTTGATCAGTAGTTTTATTACAGGAAAAGAAACTAAGACAAGTATATGAGCGGGGTAGGTACTTTAGGAGTTGTAAGGTGGTTGGGCAAAAGTCCAATACCAGAGGTGGGCGACCTCTTAATGAGTAATCAGCCGGGGAGGCCCTGAGGCCTCACAGACTATAAAGGTATGCCACTGCTCTTGGCTGCAGGCCCGAACTAGAGTCCCTACTGCAGAAGGCAATGCATGCTTTGGCTACAGGATATGGAGACAAAAGGAGTTGTTAATGGGCGCCATTCCTGACGGCAGGCTGCTTTCACAGTGCTAGAAGGTACCGTGTAAGCTGCTTGGGGAAGAGCTGTCACCAGCAATCCTGGCTGCCTATGCATCCCAAGGAAAATGTGAGCGTACTGGTGTAGTAGTGACAGGGCTGCTACTGTTTGACAACTGGATTTAGGGCTGACTCAACAGGAGAAAACTCGCTAGTGCTGTAAGGCAGACAAAAGCCCATGGCAAGGAAGGGCCCAAGCCCAAGACGGGAGGCCACTGCCACTGTCGCCTTAAATGAATGGTATGTGCCTCTCAAAGTGCCTTTTAAACCTTTCTCACATTCACAGGTTACTGTTGCTGTCAGCCTCAATAGGTTAGGAAAGGAAAGGTCTTTGTTTGCAATAGGGAGTGTTCTGCAGAGATCAAGGCCTCTGGCTGTGTATGGTGGTACACACCTTTAATTAAGGTACTCAGAGCAGAGGCAAATGAAATCTGTGAGTTTGAGGCCAGTCAAGGCCTGGACCTCATGCATGCCAGCACTCTACCAGTGAGCTACATCCACAGCCCTAATTTAGTTGAATTTTGACTACTGTGACTAGTAGTATTTTGAAGGACTTAGCATAATAAGAAGCTAGTCATATAATTTCATTTGGTGAAAGGAACAGGATTAAAAAACACAAAAAACCTAATTGTAACTAAGTTTAAATATTAGTTTGATAACGGAGAACACTCAAGAACCGTTATATAGCCAAGTACTTGTGATGTACCTGTCAAACTGTCAAATGATAATCCACTGTAGGAATAATCTGCCCAAAATGTAAAAGGAAAGCTACTTGTAGACATTTTCTTTTGCTCAGCGAAACATCTAAATCAGATTTATCAAAGCTAAATCAATCTATGATTGTCTGCACAATCTTCCTCCTGCTTCTAGACACATTTAAAATTTAGGAAGTATCATAATCACAAAGCAGGAATGAATGACAAGCAAGCATGATCAACAGATAAATTGTTTTTTTAATCTGAAATACTCCTTAAGAGAAACTACAAAGAGCAAATCAAACATAATACAATGCTCATCCCCACCTACTACCAAAGGCAGACTTACCTCGTGGGCCAGCATTTTGTAGAGCTCTTCTCTAGTTACTGAAATTCTTTCTCTGTCTGTGCTGTCCACAACAACTATTACAAACTAAAATAATTACCAAAAAGACCATTAGTGACTTAGAGAATTTGGTATTTGAAAATTCAAGATACTTATTTTGTACTTATACAAAATAAGGTACTTATTTAATTACACGATACTAATATGGAGACATTAAAATCTTTTGTATTGGAAGAGAACCAGGGATGTTTATCATTCTCACTTTATTTAAGCCCAAGGATCTGACTCATTTCTAACTCAAACACATTTACTCATTTTTAAGAAAAAAAAATACGATACTAACACTCTAACCAAACTAGAACACTTTTTTCTTTTCAAAATTACTACATAAATACTAATGGGGCCTAGAGCCTTGTATTTACACTCTAATACAATTTTAAAAACAAACAGACAAAACCAAACACTTAAGGTCCTAAGTTTAAGTTGCTTTTAGACAAGTATTATTACTATCCTTTGAATCCTTGAAATGAACAAATCGAAAGGATCAACTGGCATCTAAAAACAAAAGCTTCCTTATGTCCAGGGCACTGCTGCACAAGCATGGCCTGTCGTGAGCAGATGAGGAGCCTACAGCTCTTCTGGAGTAGAGCTCCCTGCACTCCTAACTCTAAGAGCACCACAGACAAGAGGGAGACAGAGCCAATGTCCAGTTACTGTCCTCACAAAGCCCATGTTGCTTGTTACTAAAACACAGTTTTCATTGTTTAGAACGAGGTAATCATTTCCAAATAAACCATTGGGTTTTCAGCCTTTTTATTCCTCAGTTTTCAAACTGTAAGATTTCATTGCTAGCTTTCTGGCAGAAGACTTTATTATTGTGATGCTCATTCTATCAGATGGTATTTTAATAAACCCTTTTCAAGGTTGACATAATTTAAAACCTGGAGCAATATATATGGGGGCACTACACATACCTTTATAAGCCATACACACATTTCCTCCAAACGTATGATGAAATACTAATGGAGTGCTGGGGTTAGGCTATGTATGAGAGACACTTGGTAGCATCATTAGTGATTTAAATATCTTTACATATGTGTAGAATATTTTTTAAGGCATTATAATCCACACCACAAAAACAACTGGTGCAACCTTTCAATTTATAGGCCTACATGATGAATGTAAGTCACAGGTTTGAAATTTTCTCTTGCAACTTAACATGTAAATAAAGCCGTATGATTATGTCTAAAATGCTTTATAATCAAAAGATTTCTTTAAGTGCAACTGCACCGCATAAAAGAAAACACACAGCAAAAGCTGGCTAGGACTCAAACCACAGAAGAGCCCTTTCACTTGCTACGATTTCTCCCACTTAGCCACATATAAATAGTGAGAAGGAAATGCAATCAGAAATCATGAGATGCAAGTCCTTATAAAAGCAACTACTGGATCAAACAGCCTGACCAACCAACCACCAATTCTCCCTGTGGAGACTTAATTTAGGTGGGTATACAGTCAAGGATTTGAAACAAGGAGTGGGAGGCGACTAGAGTCAAGCACAGCAGACGATGCTTACACTCTAGAGTCAAAATACTGTCCTATTTTTAAAGGGCTGTAATGATTCAAATCCGAATGCTTCTTTCTCAAGGACTCAGAATGCTCATGGAAGCTGCGTCAGCATTAAGAATGTTACCTCAGTGTTAGTATAGTAAGTGTTCCAGGAAGATCGAAGGGATTCTTGACCTCCAATATCCCACATCAGGAAACGTGTATTATTAACCACAATCTCCTCCACATTACTTCCTATTGTAGGGGATGTATGTACAACTTCATTCATGGAACTAGGAGGGAAAAGTTCACAAAATTAGTGAGGAAGCTCGCTCATCTCAGGATGACATCAAGGGACAAGTCAGGATGACTTCTCTCTCTATTTCATTCCCAAGTGTCCTTTTTCTGTGAGCTCATACAACAAATCAGCCAGCAACATAAACAGAGCTCAAAATAAATAATGGCTTAAGAATATTATAGATTATTCTGGCAAACTGTACAAACAAATATTTTCCTGTTTTCTAAAAGCAAGGGCTCCATGCAAAACAATGAGCATGCTAGATGTCATGTAAATTTCTAGCTCACCACAAACAGTTGTTTAAATCTGGTTCCTGGCTTATGATTAGTCAGATTGGAGCCACATAACTTTACATTGATCAAATATCACAAAAGCAGAAAGAGTAACTAGAAACAACAAAATTAAATTTTTAAGCAATTAATACTTACAACTGGTAAAGGATGGTAGTTTTCCCTGCATTATCCAGCCCAACAATGATAACTTTGTGCTCTGAAATAAACAAACCAATAGTGACTTATGACAGACTCACACAGACTCCCCTACTTTACTCTTTATTTCTGTGGTATAAGTCAGCACATGGCACTTTCAAACCTTTCTGGAATCAAAAGAATATTCCAGCAAGCAAGAAATGTGGTTACATGCACGTTCTCTGCCTCTTCTCGCTCTACAGAGGCCTCTCCAGGCAGTCGGAAGCACTATTCTTTCTAGGCTTATGGATGTCTATGTATCCCCAAATGTAATCCCAACAATTACAAGTGACTTAAGTCATGGTCACGGAAGCTCCATCTGTGAAGTGCAGGCATCCCATGGGTATGTCCATGTGGACTGTGAAAAAGAAGGAGAAAAAGAAGAGGCTTTTCCGTGGCTAACTAAATGATAACAAGTATGCGGACCCACAGAACTGTCTTGGCAAACCACTGTCAGGCCTGCCAGCTACAGTGGCAGGGACTCACTCCTGGCTTCTGGGGGCATCACAGTTCCTAAACTGTCTCCCTATCTCTTGTTTTCTTGTTTTTCTTTTCTTTTCTCTCTAGCTCTAATTCTTTATCTAGGGAACTCTTTATTTTGTATGGTCTGGGTTTCCACTCTTTTCTCCCAGAGTTACAGCAAAGCACTTATCACAATTATGTGTATGTGCACAAATCTAAGCTTAATCAGCTGCCCTTCAAATATACAGAACACAATATTTATATTCCTGGTAACTGTAATTCTTCCTGGCACAAGGTAGGTATTTAATAAGCATTAAATTAATATTCATGCTATGAAGAGTCAATGTTGAAGATTGTAACATCTTTACTCAGGCATTTTACAAATCATTGCCATTTATCCCAGAGGGGGATCCTAATATCTAGGTGCTTATGTTATATAAAAGTTACAGAATCAAATAATAGAAAAATTTAACTCCATCCAGTTTAACAAGTCAACCACAGGTAGCTTAGCACCACTAAGTCCTCAAGTAACATGATGACCCTCCACTCAGAGTCTTCCAGCATCCTTTTGAAGACCCCAGGGCCTGTCATAGTTCATACTTAGAGATGGCTAGGGTGAAAGCATGGTTCATATACAAAGGTGAAGGGTCAATATATGTACAAAGCACGCTATGGGAAAGTCACCAGGCTACACCAACGTCCAGACAGTACTCTGATGAATCTGCATCTCCTGAGTTCACAAACTCAATCCTGCTACCATCCCAGAGTAGACAGACTCAGAGGAAGCAACACATAAAAATGAGTAACACAGAAGAACATCAACAAGTACAATAAAGACAAATATTTAAAACAAACTAGACAAGCCAGGAATGGTGGCACGTGGCTGTGGTCCCAGCTACCTGAGAGGCTAACAGGAAGACCACAAACTCTAGGCTGGACCAGGCAACATGGTAAGACGTCATCTCAAAAACCAAAACAAATCAAACTGGCTGACAAGTACAGTCTCCCTCGACCTACGAGTCATTCATTGCCAACTGGATTTTAGATTTTTAAAAATATGCATTTTACTTTGTTTTTATAATAAAGCAACAATGACCAATTTCCTCCAAGGTAAAGCATATTTTATGGCTGAATTAAAATCAGAAAACTCTTGAGAAGTATGAGATTCCAACCAAGTAAGTGTGACAGGCACCACGGCCATGGATGCTGCTTCCCAGTGGGGCCATGTCTGCACCTGAACCAGGTAAGTAAGTGAGTTCCGCAGCTAGGGTGCCTTTCTTCCAGTAAGTTTCTAACAGTACAAGACTGCCTTTCTCATTTTCCTTTTTTCTTATAAATGTAAGCTTTCCACATTTGATGATGTATGCTTTCTTCAGTTCTGTCAATACAAGCACCGACAAAAGTATTAAAACAATGAGAAAATTTCCTGGTTGAATACCGACTGTAAATTCGAGCCTTCTTGGTCTGGGTGTGGCAGGGCACCTCTCTAATCACAGCACTCCAGAGCAGAGGCAGGTGAGTTCCAGGTTAGCATAGTTTACATAGCATCCCCTAGGCCAAAGGCTGCAGAGTGAGACTCAGTTTTAAAACAAACTAACTACAGTCTTTCTAAAGTATCAGTTTAGTCCTCACACCAAGAAATACATTCTGTACTACCCCCCATGATTAGCTACGGGACAAAATTTAGACAGATTTCCAGTACTCTAAAAAAACAAAACAAAACAAAAAACCACATTTATAATCATCCATGAAAGAAATAATGTCCTTAAAATATATGAAATAAATAGACTGGTCCAAAAGTAATACGAAATACAAGACTCTATGGCACATAACTATGAAGAACGACTCAAGCACACATGCGCGTGCACACAATGTGCCCACGGATGATTAGCACATTATCTGTTTGGCACAGCCCTTAATCACCTAAAGAGGTTATGAGCACACTTGAGCAGCGCCAGCATTCTTCCAAAGACTGCTGCTTTCCTGCCATACTTGCTTCCAGAGCCTGAGGTATCGAGTTCTACATTCTCAATGGCGATGAATCCTTCAACTTCTAAACATGAATCTGAGTTTTAAAGAGGGTCTCCTTGGTATCATCTTGGTCATTAGGGAAAAGGTAGCTGAAATGAATGCCAGCTTACTGCTATATGAGGTATGGCCCTTGTGTAATAAAGAATCATTTTAAAAAACTTGTCTCTAATGAAACTCTAAATTGAGCTTTGAAAGACACATTGAATAGGAGGAGACGCTGGCGGGAAAACTACCTGGTTTCCTAAAATAGGAGCTGTCATGTTAGGAGCCCTCGTCTGCTTTGCACAGGAGTTTGGGTTCTTTGTGTCTGTTTTGTTTTGTGATCTTTAGCTATGTCTTATGTCCTAATTCTAAAATCACTGTTTTTCTTACCTCCTAGAAAGGGCTATCTACATAAAAAAAAATACCTAAGAAAGCTTTTTTTTTGGGGGGGGGGTCACACCTGGTCACATGCTGAACAAGACAAGTGAGGCAAGTATACTGAACAGAACCACCATGCGGTAACATACACTAAGGCAAGGCAGAGGGCAGAAGAGGTTCATACCACAAGAGTTTCATTTTCTCCGGATACAAGCTAAATAAAGGATAGAGTGCCTGGAAGTAAAGAAGCCAGAGAGTTGGGAGCATATGGTAGATGATGCCTTGTGAGAACCCAGATCAGGAGGCATGGTGGGAAGCTTTTAACAGGTAAGACTATCCAAGATGGAAAAAAAAACAATCAGCCAGACATTGGATTTAGCTAGCAAAGAGCACCATCATTTTACAGTCTACAAGATAGGGAGAGATGAACGTCCTAACAGGCAAAAGTTAGGGCTTGGTGGAGGTAGAGCAGGAAAGGTAAGAAGGTGATGGAAATACCCAAAGTCAGAGGCCTTGGAGGCGACATGTCCTTCTATGTCCCCCGCAGATAAAGCAGATAGGAGAGTGGAGTTACATGCTGGGAAGAAGGTGAAAAGGGATGGGTGTGACAAGGGTGTGTGTGGGGGGGGTGGTGTGTGTGTGTGGGTGTGTGTGTATGGGTGTCCTAATCCAAATCTCCTAATTCCTTTCTTGGCTGGTTACTAAAATCCACACAGCTGCTCAGTGTACCTCATCTCCAGATGGTCTCAGAGACTTTCCATTTAAGTTTGCTAGCACCATGCTCTACTGTGGAGACGATGCTCTTCTAACTTTACAGCATTACCCAAGTCCCACAGCACCACCAAACCCATAAATCCACACCCCAATGGAGATTTCTACAACATCGACAAAGGGAATGTAAGCTAACATAACACAGGAGGTGGTTGGTTGTGACATTCCAAAAAGAAGAAACTCAAATCAAACACGTGCAAAACTTCAGAAACTCTCCAAAGAGCCACAGGCTGTAAGAACAACAAAACCAAACCAAAGCCAAAAATAGCATCGCAGAAGTGCAACCCAGGGAAGAGTCTGTAATTCAGTGCATCACCCCTCACGCGGCCTCACATCCACAAGCCCAATTCTCTTCCAACTTTACCAGAGAGGAACGTGCCTACGATAAATTATCAGTGACCTAAATCAATGACATAGTGTGTGAGTCACGATGAGTACTGTAACATTAAGACAAGAGTTGTGTAAGGCTAAAAGATGAAGGTGGCAGGCGATGCAATGGTCACAAACCAGCTTGTCCCTGGTATGCTCCGGGATTAGATCATCCATACACGTTCTAATACTAAACAACTCCCTCACACCCTCAAGCTCTTTCATCACTCGGCCCTCTTCATTACCAGACATAACAGCATGCTACAGAGAATGTAAGTCTGTAGCCAGCAAGTGCTATAATTCTGTCTTACAATGTGCTTCAAGACAAATACTCCATCGAACCCACAATACAGCATATGAGGAAGTAATGTTATTGAGGACAAAGGTCAATCGGACTTCGGCCATGCCAACTCTTTGACACTTATGAATCATTGCAATTACTGCTTTGTATAACTTTCATTTAGAAGGCCTTTCTCACAGAATTCCTGCACTCAGGAAAGCCCAAACACCTCTACACGGTTACTCTCTGCTGGGATTCGGGAGTTTGATCTGGGCTTTACCTTACCAATCAATACTGCTCTGTCATGAAAACACTTCTTGTTGTCCATGGGTCCTTCCTCCTTCATTTTCTTTGACACACCCAGGCAGCCACACATGGTCTAAATCTGCATCCCTCTGACTACCGCATGTAGATGACAAGTTGTGTCCCAACAGCAGACGCTCCATTTGCTATGTTCATTACTACTCCCTCAGCCAGTACAGAGCCTGACGCAAAGCATGCTGGTAATGAAGTATCTTTCAGTGAACAAAGAAATCAGCCTGGAAGGTAACAAGGGGTAGGAAAGTGCTGTCTATCAAGCTAGTTTGTACTAAAAATTCAATTTGGGGGACTTAAAAGCATCACAAATTTTATTTTTAAAAGCTGAAAATAAGCTGGCTAACAGTGAGGAAGCTTTGGGAGCATAGTATTGCTGCTAAGAAATTGCTGGGGGTGGAGGTGGGGGACAAGAAACCATTAAACATGCAAAATCTAGGAGACAAAAATTGCAGTAATCTGAGGTTGGGAAGTTTTACAAAGAAAATATCTAGTACCAATTAAACAAGAGACTGGTAAGAAGATAAAAGTAATCTCTATGCCACGCAAGAGCCAGGTCTAAGGGTAAAGGTGCATACGCTGCAATCAGCTTGTCCAGAGAGCACACTGTCACCAAGAACGAGCGTTTCCTCCTGCATTCCCCCCCGCCCCCCAGTGAGCCTCACTCTGTACAACTGACCAGAGAATGCGGACAGGGTGCACCTGGAGCCAGGCTCCTGATGACGGACAGTCACTCTCTGGGGAGTTAGGGTCCTCTGCAGTCACCTGCATGTTTGAACTCCCTCGAAAGAACAGCATCAGGAACAGATCCCCAACACCAGATCTAGGCAGAGGGAGCAGCTTTGCCAGAACTCATTCAGAGCTTGATTCCCTTCCCAACAACCAATAAGAAGAGCGACACATGGCTGTCAACATGGAAACTCCACAGCCTCGGCGTCAGAATGGTTCTTTCATCCACTATCGTCTTTATAAAGGGGTGTGTGTATACGTGCGTGTGCGCAGTGGGTGTGGGGAGAACACGCTGGCACTAGAGACCCTTGTTGAAAAGCCCAGGCAGGCTTATTACTTTAAATAAATAATGCCCTAATGTGTTTTTGTAAAACAGAAAGTTTGGAGGGGTAACTCAACCGAGGCAGATTAACCAACCCTGGTGAAACACCTGGAACCCGGTGTGGCAAAAGTCACTAATATTACCAGCTGCTAATTTATCTGCAGAGACAGGTTGAGTTTCCTTTCTGCTGTCCCAGACTACAATAAATGCTTCATAAAGACATGGAGATTTGTCTGTTTTATTCCCTGCCTTATTCCTACCACCAGGAGCAGTGGTTCTCAACCTTCCTAAGGCTGCAACCCTTTAATACAGTTCCTCATGCTGTGGTGACCCCCCACCATCACCACAAAATTATTTCCGTTTCTACTTCATAAGTGTAATTTTGCTGCTGTTATGAATCTAATGTAAATAACTGCGTTTTCTGATGGTCTTAAGTGACCCCCGTGAAAGAGTCATTTGACCCCAAAGGGGTTGCGACCCTACAGGCTGAGAAACACTGACCTAGAATGACCCAAACAGGAGCTAAGAAGGTATTTAACAAGCCACTGATAATGAGCTCTTCTAGACATTTGGAGTTATTAACAGCAAGCCTACACCTAAGCTAATATTCACAACACAACAACTGAGCCAACAGGGAGGAAAAAGGAAAACGAAGAGACCACCAATAAGCAGCGACATTACTTTGTTGTCTCCTTGCCAACTGTCTGGTACAACTCTGCTTCCTCTTTTCCAGGGAAATAACTGCTTAGAGGGATTGCTGAAACCTTTATTTTGTTTGAGACAGAATCTCATGTAGCCCAAGATGGCCTTGAGTTCACTGTGTAGCAACCTTGAACTTCTGACCCACCTACTTTTGAATCCTGAGTGCTGGGATGACCCCCCCCCCCCCCACATCCTCTAATCTCAGCTGGGGATGGTAAAGTAGGTAGGCAGGCACTCAGTCAACTCAAGCAGCTCCCCCAGCGTCAGATACTCTTCTAGTGGTGGCACTCAGTCAACTCAAGCAGCTCCCCCAGCGTCAGATACTCTTCTAGTGGTGTAAATAAATTACAATATCTAGAATCAAGTTTGAGCTCTTCGGAATCTGTACAACACCTACATAAAAGCCCTGGCTTTTCTAGGTTGAGCAGTGGGCAGTTCACGATCATGGTTTTAACTGAGCTGGCTGCTCTTTCAGAAGACGGCGCTGCTATGTCTGAGTTCAACACAACAAACTCTGCAATTACCCAAAGCCTCTTTCCAGGCGAGGCTGTGAAAAGAATACAGACATGTGTCCTGAACCTTCTGTAAAATAAAGCATCCAAGACACACCTGACTTACGTGTCCCATTGAACATAGGTCCAAAGATAACAATAAATATCTGAGACTGAACAGTGAATTCCGTGAAGCTACTGTGCGCTAACACACCATTTAACAAATTATTTCAATTTCACTATACTGACTGGTAATTTTCTAGAAACTGAACTCTATTAATTCTCCTGTTAATTTTCAAACACTCACTAAATGTTCAGGCAAATAGTACCACAAAAATGCAGACGTGTAGTGATACCAATGTATTCCTGTTATTACTTGCAAAAAGCTGTTTTTTTTAAAGTTATAATTCATTTTTAAGTTACAGAAACAGTTTAATCATTGACTCAAAAAAGAAAGTGAAAACAACACCAAGTTTTTCTAAACCTCAGAGCAGAACTGAAACCTTAGCGTCACTAAATTCAAGGTTATAGAGGAAAGAACTAGATAAATATTACCCACATAAACATCATCAGTTTTACAACAATGTAACCTTCATTACTTCAAACCTAGAGATGAAAATTTCAAAAACCGTAGGCCCCACCAATTCCTCCTGTTCTAGGCGATATCTAGATCCACAGAATTGTGAAGCTCACCCCCCAACACACACACACTCTGCTGACCAGACAGTGTTGATAGGAATATCCTCTTTACCACCTTCCACTTCATTTAGTACCGTTATCTAAACTATCATTTTTTTTAATTATTATTTAAAAAAAAGCAAAACCCACTGGGGATTACAAGGCCCAGTATGTCTCTTCCCATAAAGCCAGCTGTATCCTGGAGGAGGAAGGTCTAAAGTAGGCACCACCGTTCATTAAGTTTTAATTGGAAAAAGTGGGGGTGCAACAACGCTACCAGCTTACACAAGAGAAAAGACAGTACGTTGTTGAGAAGGAATGAGTTACAACTAGAGGTTTTTGTTTTTTAAGCACATTTCATTTTAGTAACTATGTGGTCCGTTAGAACTGTATCCTCTCCACTTTCACACACTCATTTCGTATTTTTTTATTTTAATAAATCCCCTATGCATTCCGCGGCAATGCCTGCGTTTAGGGCAGAACTGGAACAGTAACCTGCCAGTTACCTAAGGCTAACGAGTGCCTCCCGAGGTATGCTTTTCAAAGCTGTCAGGGACGCACTTTAACCAGGGCCAAAAAAAATCGCTCTAATAACCCAAGAAGGAAAACGACCTTAGGCTTGACCTTTAACCACAGAAACAAACAAGGTAAAGGAGAGCCACCCATCACCATTCCGCGGCGTGGGGCTCCCCCAACCCCCCAAGCGAGCCGCCCCAAGCGAACCGGACTAGCCGAGCACGAGTTCCAGTTTTCCGCATTCTGCAACCCGTAGGCTCGGTGGGCGACGCCAAGGCCAAGGCCAGGGTCCCCAGCCTCCCCCGCCAGAACCCCAGCTTTCCTCCGTGCGGCCCAAACACCACTGGCGGCGGGCGACGGGGATGGAGGCAGGCCAGGTCGTGCGCTTAGGCCCCCGGCGTGGGACCGGACACCTTGGGCGCTGGCGATCCAATCCGAGCAATGGGTGTATGGCGGGAGGGCTCTCTCCCCAGCTCCCGGGAGACAAAGGCGACCCGCCGGGACCACCCCGCCCGGCCCAGTCTCACCCTGGTGATTGAACAGCCTCCAGATCCGGGTGAAGAGAATTCCCATCCTCGGGCAGCGGAGCCCTCCAGCCGCCCGGGCTCAGGCTGCGGGGCAGAAGGACGCGCCGGGGCCTCCGCCACTGCTCCCGCGCCCGCCGCGCGCCCGCTTCCAGGGACCGGCGGGGAGGCCGCAGCCCAGGCCGCCCAGCCACGCGCCAGGCCCCGCCGCTACCGCCGCGGCGTTCGCCGGGCTCGCGGACATCGCCGCCGCGTTGTCTGCACGAGCCTCGCGGGCCACCGTCCTCCCCCAAGCTCCTCTCCAGTGGCCGCTAGGGCTCGGGCGGGGCGGGGCGAGGCGGGGCGGGGGCAGTGCGCAGGCGCGGGGCTGGAGGCGGGGCTCGGGCACCGGAGGCCTCGGCCGCGGGGAGGGCGGGCCGAAGGGAGCTGGGGGCTGGCGCGCTGGTGTCCCGTTCGAGGTTGTTTCTGAGCCTGGAGCCACGGTGCAAGTGTGTAACCATGCCCATCTCCAGCCCTGCACACACTTCCAAAAGTCCCGTGGTTGGGTCCCGACGACCGTAAGCTTTAAGTCTCTGTTGAGCCCGTTACCCCTTGACAGTAGCTGAAGTCTTTGCAATTTTCCTTACCTCTGTCTTTGCACCTTGGCGCTCTCCCCCCTCCATTCTCCCTCCACTCTTGGTTAGAGCAGCTCTCTTCAAGTCCCCCCCCCCCCCCCCCCCCCCCCCCCGTTCTAGTGGTCACAAAAGCTGCCTGTGCGGAGCAGTCGAGTCCAAAAACACTGTGGACAGACAGTCACTGTTCTTTATGGCCCCGAATGTCTTTTCCTCTCATCCAAGAGTCACCTTCCTCATAAATAGATGGCCAAATGTTCTCTGTATTCTTCAGTCTTCTCGCCTACAGCTGGAACAGTTGTGCCTCTGGGTATGCGAGTGTCCAGCCCTGCCTCCCCTGCAGGACAAGTGGTTGAAACTAAAATATAAAAAAATATATAAAATATATGTAATATATAAAAATTGTTGGTGAACTTGATCAGAAGAGTTCTTGTCCATGTTTCTGTTTCGTTTTTGTCTACTTCTTTTAGTTCCTTTTAGCTAAGCAGGTTAGATCTCCAGATCTCAACATTCCTGATGTAGAAGCAGTGGAGGGTTGATCTGTGAAGTGATCAGATGACTCTGATAGTCTTGACTCCTGTAAAAGAATTACATAGGAAGGAGGAACTGCAGCTGTTTACTTCATCCACAAAAATAAACAAAAAGCCGAAGCAGCTTCATTTCTTTCTAGTCTCTTTAACTTTGCTTTTTAAAAAGGAAGAAGGAAAGAAAATGCGGGAGACCTGTGGAAGGCACTTGGAGCTGTTCTGTTACCACCTCATCCACAAACTGTACCCTTCTACCCGACTCCTCCTAACCATACACGGCCTTATCTCAATGTATGGAAAAGGGAGTTCTTCATCTTCTTTGGTGGCTTGTGTCCAAATGCCAATCTTTGAGACATACATAAAGGAGAATAAAGTCATTAGACTAGTCTGCACATTTAGAATATTATATCTGAATTTATTTAATAGCTTGTAGACTTTTTAGAAAAACGCTGTTTGCATAACCAACTGACATGAACTCTTTAGTATTTCCATTCTCATCCAATGTAGGCAACACTTTAGCAACTCTTGAGATGTTTTTGCAAACTCCCACACATCTTTGACAACTTATTAAGGTATGCCAGACCCATATTTACTTGTGAAGTTAGGGCTCCGTGTTTTAGAACTCTGTTAAGGAAATGGACTATTTTCCAAGTGCCCCTCACAAAAGGGGGGGATTAGATTTGGCTAGTAAAATCTTTGCTAACTTTAATAGATAAAATACAAAATTGGTACTATAGATATAACTGGGAATCTTTGATGAGGGATGTCAAACTATTTGTTTCTCCTTCTGAGACCTTCTAAATATTTTATCAATTTTTAAAGTCATGAACAAAATGCCATAAAAGACTTCTGCTTTAAGGTATGAGAACATAAAACATCTGCTTTACCATTCTACTATTAATAAGCAGAGCACTGGATATAACACAAGAAACAACTGTTTCCAGATACTGGAAAACAGGCTCTGGATTGTGATCCCTAATTAAAGAGAAACAGTGAGCTTTACCATTGCTCTGTATTTCTGCCTTAGCCAAAACAATTCCCAGCTAACTCCAGAAGGAGTGGACGGTCCCTGACCACAGCTCTGTTCCCATAATCAGGGAGGCTGGAATTAGGGAAGCAGAGTCACCAAGAGAAGGAAGAAAGAACATCTACAGAAATTGGACTACGAGAAAATTGAGTGTTCTGCTCCATATGACTTGTATAGGATGAAATCCTAGGTAGTTGGCTAGTAACAATTCCTAGGGGGAAAACGTACCAGGATTGTTGCAAAATAATCCCCAGATAATTGTTTTAAAGGGTCAGGAGTCATTAATGTAAAGTGATCCCTTCAGTCAGAGAAAACTCAAGCTTAGGACATTCAGTAGATGCCTGGATGCTGAAAGAGGAGCTGAGTCTAAGAATGGGTCCCAGTTGAGACCAGCCTTCAAGGAGTCCGAGGATAAACTTGTTAAAACAAGTTTGATGTTCCACAAAGGAATACAAGAAGTGAACATCACTAATATAATTGCAATGTAAATCTAACGGTCATGCAAGGAAGATATAACAGTAACAGATGTGAGCACAGGGCCGTTGAATAACTTGTAGTGAGTGATTGCTGGAAGGCACTGGTTAGGCTGACCTGCATGTTATATGAAAAGACAAGAGATTTCTTTCTACAGCCCAGTGGAAATGTGCTACTGACAAGAGAGATGGTTAAGGCAAATACCCTGCCAATGCAACAGTGAGGAACTGTTGTTTTCCAGTTGGGAGTTTCAGATTGTTGGCTGGTTGTTGGGGTGGTCTTAGGTAAGACCCCTCTAATAACAAAATTATTCATACAGCCAACACCTTGTATTTGCACACGGCTTTGTGTGCTTCAGTTTACTACTTCGCTGGAGAGTGTTAGATGTGTGTATTATTCTTTTGTAAATGCTTCAGAGAAAGAAGTGACACTAAGCTTTTGGTTTTCTTAATTATAGTTGGGTCTATTAATCTCTTCTCTGCCTGCTTTTTCAGGAAGCTCACATGAATTAAATGTGATAAAGTTTGTGGAATAACTTGGCTATAATGCATACTGTGTAATTCTAATTCTACTAACATCTTGCATTTCCCTTGAGCTTCTTATACACCACAAGGAGATGAAAGTCAAATGCCAATCCTGTTACAGAACACAGGCAACTGACTGGGGTGTCTGTGAAAGGTCCAGTCGTAATCTGTATCCCAGCCACAGAATTCCAGAGCTATTACTCTGGAAATGTCTGGCAACTGCAACACTGACCATTTAAGGGTCTCTTGAGAACATTAAGGGTTACCTAGTATATTTTCTGTATTCAGCCTTATTTCACACATTTATTCTGGTATATTCCACATGTGTGTACAACGTATACATTCTTTCTAACACAACATTCTTTTGTATCATAGAATCTAGCAGAATAATTGGGAAATAGTCGCTTCATTGAATCTTTCTTTTTTCTTTAAAGAGTAAATATATAGATTTGTTTCCCATTAAAAGCTACAGGAATATCGCTGTGATTTCTGGCATTTCCTCTGTACATTTCCAGAATATAAATGAGAGGTAGAATGCTGATTTCAGTGGTTTTTTAAATTTATTATATAAAAGAAAAAATGAATGCAGTTTTTTGTACACATTTAAACTCCATAAAACAAATCCATAGAAATTAGGATACTGTATGCATGCACTCTGCATTTTCTTTGTTAAATGTCTTTGTTCACAAAAATAACACCACTTTTTTTTCTTTAAAGCCACTAAAGCAGAGGGAGAACAAAGCATGCAGCACGTATACATTTGCATAGTGTATTTTACCCAGCATGCCTTGGAGAACGCTACGCATACCTAGATAACAAAAATGAAAGGGACGAATTATTAAAATAAATAACCAAAAGAAAAGTTATTTGACAAAGGCATTTTCCCCACCACATCAGCAGAGACATAGTAATAGCCTAGGGTATCAACAGCCCTCAGAACAGGGGGAGTCCTTTTATATCATTTTGCCATAGTTACTTTTAGTATGTTTCCTATTAATAATGTTATTTTTGTTCCCTCCCACCACTTAAAAATACAGCTAATGGCTTTAACTTATGCTTGAAATAGTATCAATTACAAAACAAAACAAAGAATCCCTGCTTAATATTTTTCCATGGGGACATTTTACTGATCTCTAACTTGAGGCTGGGGGAAAAAAACATAAACTTTCAAACATCCAAAGCCCAGAGGAGCCCGTGAGCTCACCTGTGTGCCGTTTGTTACCAAAGGAGGAGAAACAAGAACAGAAAATAGAGTAAAATAGTGTGAGTCTTAACACAAAATAAAACTCATATGTTTTATATAACGGAGTAAAATAAGGAAATTACACTCACAGATTGAAGGCTATGAAATAAATTGCTGGAAAATATCAAGCAGCAAAGTTACAAAGGTGAGAGATGAGATAGATGTGATAAAACACAGAACCAAATCTACACACTTCCAAAAACAGGACGGCCAAATTTAACAGTGGGTTTTGTTGTTTGTGCTATAAGAACACATGTGCTTCTTCCGCCTCAATCTATTTTCATTTATTGGCAAAATATATATATATATGTATTATAATTTTGTACTGTACAATATATATTTTTGCTACATTATTTTTCTACTGCTAATGCAGAAGTAACAACATAGATTTATTTTGGCAATAAAATGCTTTCATTTTAATAACATCCCAGAAAATATTGTAAGGCATATGAAAAATAGTATGCAACAATATAGCGTTAATGACCCCGCATCTGTAACACCCCTGTGCACACGGAATTCACACTGGTTTCGGTGGTGTGAAGTGGCTTACAAGCAGGGCGAGAAAGGCCCCTGCATAAATATAGACAGAGCCATTTGTTGGGAGATTTAAGTGTTCAAAATATAACCCCAAATGCTTGAAAAGCTAGAGACCGGCTACTTTTCAGCTCTCAGTTCTCATTTTAACTCTTTATAAGTTTCACATGAGGAAGAATTAGTGTATTCTCTAAACTATTATAAATTCATCGGTAACATTTTCTTCCATCTCTCTGTGAACATTTTACATCCACCAAAAAGAAAGTTTCATGAAAAATTATAGATCCCCAAAGCTCAGCATTATTCCCTCTTATTTATATG